TGTGTGTGTGTGTGTGTGTGTGTGTGTGTGTGTGTGTGTGTGTGTGTGCTTATCTGTCTGGTGCCGTGGGGCAGCTGCTGCAAAGTCTGATGTCTGCCTGCCTGCTGTGCTCGAGTCAGCTTATAAAAGAGAGGCAGCATTGAAGGAAGTGAAGGAGGATGTGGAGGACTTTTAAAAAGATTATAATGCTAATGAGTGTGCTCCACTTCAAACATACAATAACCTTGCTGTACAGTAGCATCAAATAGTTTGGCAGAACTTGCTCACCACGATGCTTCTGTCATTACCGCTGGGCAGCTTAACACAACTTAAAGGTTCAATTTAAAAAATATAAGAGGGAATTAGGAAATAAAAACAGGAGAACCTAGGGAAATGTCTATGCGTGACAGTAACTGTAAGCAAATTTACGGCTCAAGGGAGTCACCAAGTTTGATTTAGCTTGTGGTTTAGCTTGAACCTACGACCTAAAATAAGTGGCTCCAATTTTCTTCACGCAAGGAGGCCACAAAAGGCTGTGCGAAGCTGCCGGCCTTGGCAGAGAATCTATCTTGTACAGGCATGAAATACAAGGACGGTTCTTGGAGCTTGTTCGCTGCGTGATGGTGAAAGTGAAATAGGATGGCTGCTTTTCAGTAAGAGCTTTTTTTTGAGTATTTAATACCTGATTAATTGTTTACAAGTTGACAATGACTGTTTTGAACAATGTACACTCTCTGTGTAGATAAATACTTTTATTCAAGTAAATTGAATTAAACTTTCAAGGATGTTTACTGAGCAGCTCAACTTTAATATACTTTTCATAAGACATTTTGAATAAAAATGCTCTGAAAATGAACATTTTAAATAAAACAGTGCAGTATTTAGAATTGTAAATATATGCAGCTGTAACCCTCAAAATTCTGCTTCACTGCAGAGGTAATATAAAACAATATTAAAAATATTGGCCATAAAGAGAAGTGATTACTTACTGCATAATATTACTTTTCAAGCACACAAAACTTTAATGTGAGATTCAATAGTGTTTTCTGTTTTTATAAAGTCCATTCATCCATCTTCATCCGCTTTATCTGGGGCCGGGTCACGGGTCCAGCAGCCTAAGCAGAGAAGCCCAGACCTCCCTCTCCCCAGCCACCTCCCCCAGCTTATCCGGGGGAACACCAAGGCGTTCCCAGGCCAGCCGAGAGATATAATCTCTCCAGCGTGTCCTGGGTCTACCCCGGGGCCTCCTCCCGGTGGGACATGCCCGGAACACCGACCCCAGGAGGCGCCCAGGAGGCATCCTTGTCAGATGCCCAAACCACCTCAGCTGGCTCCTTTCAATGTGGAGGAGCAGCGGCTCTACTCTGAGCCCCTCCCGGATAGCCGAACATCTCACCCTATCTCTAAGGGAGAGGCCAGCCACCCTTCGGAGGGAGCTCATTTCCGCCGTTCGTTCTTTCGGTCACTACCCACAGCTCGTGGCCATAGGTGAGGGTAGGGACGTAGATCGACTGGTAAATTGAGAGCTTCACTTTTACACTCAGCTCCCTCTTCACCACGACAAACCGGTGCAGCGTCTACATCACTGCAGCCGTCGCACCAATCCGTCTGTCGATCTCCGGCTCCCTTCTCCCATCACTCGCGAACAAGACCCCAAGGTACTTGAACTCCTCCACTCCTTTTTATAAAGTCTCATTTTTTATTTTTACATAAACTAACTAGTGAAGTCTGGATGTGGTAATAGATTATAGCCTCAGCAAAGCCAGGGTAACTGTTTTGTATGTTTTCAAGTAAAGGACGGATACGATCGTGCCTTTAATCTTCACATCTAACTCAGAAAAGGTTAAAGCATAATAAGCATGTTTAGCAGAAAGCTGAACTACTTCCCTAAGTAGCCACCATGACGTCACCCATTTCTGGAGCAGATTGGCATTGTGGGCATTGCCCTATTTTGCATTCCACTGATTTATTTATTTTTCCATTAGATAGACTTGGCTGTATTTGGACATGAAGAAGAAACTGTGAGCAACACTTGAAACGTGACTGGGGGAACATATGTCTCTCCTCTGAAGAAGACAGCTAGTACACTCACTGGAAGGAGTGACCTTAGCTAATGACATCTTATTGACATGTGGGGAAAATTACTTACAATTTCATGAAGCAGTTGACTGGGACTATTGAATCCATAATCCATAATCCATATCCATAATTGCTTCACTTAGCTGACTTGGTTATATCATTAATGAGCGCTTTGTCACCAAATCGCTATCCCATTATTTATACCTAAAACAGTGTTTATAATTTTTTTTAACTTATAAACTATACACTTATACAGCTTAATTAGCATCTGCCTCATTTGTTTCTTAAATTAGAAACAGTTTTGCTTTTTTCTTCACTCCCCTTGATTTGTGGTGGTGTTACGCACAGGACATATTAGTATCCTGGATGTTGGTGATTCTATGAAGATTCAATCATTCCTTTCATGAAAAAGTTCTGTGATGCATCAGGGGGAAAGGGTTCATCTAAACACCATCTGGTTCATTAGATGGGATGATGAAAGCTTAAAAAAACATCCACACCTGCAGAAACTCAAACTCCACTGGCAGAAAATGGAAATAAAAAAGCTGAAAAACTGCCAACACTGTTTGATTATCTGTCAAGATAATAACACCATCATTTTTTCTCTCTGTGTTTTTGGATGCAGTCATTTAAATATTTGTTTTAAAAAAATCCCATGTGATGGATGATGAATTCCTTGTGTATTTCGTGTAGCTTGTTGGTCAATGGTTAAGTGCTGAGGTCCCACAGTTTGGGGTCAGGTACCGTGACAACATCTTCACTCATCATGGGCATGAATGTTATAGCCATGGCTTGTAATAAGTTTTTTGAATTGTTTGTTTTCTAGAGTGGAATGATTATACAACACAAATCTTTTAAAAACAAGACTTGAGTGCACACTTTTGAAATTATTTAGGATTTTCTCAAATCCACAGAAAGTTTAAAAGTATACATACGGGCTCAAATATGCACACTTGGTGCTGAACTTTCTGGTTGTCTGTTAATAGCCCTCAGCTTTGTCTTGTTGGTGATTGGGATTGGCTACAATTATTAGCTTTTTTTGACAGCACTCACTGGATTGACCAATAGGCAGGACAATGTGGGAAAGTCCAAGAAAATATCAACATGAAAGCAGAATTATACATTAAGAAAACTAGGAAGGTCTCTTAGGACCATTTCTAAGAAAGTGCAGATTCAAAGTTAATCAGTTCAAACAACTGTTTGCAAATACAAGTTATGTAGAAGTGAAACTGTTAGTGAAGAGCTGCATATGGTTTCATATTCTTCAGACATTTCCCCAAAATGTCTGGCAGTCCACATTGATTTGTTTCTGAAAGCTCTTTCTTTTATTTGACAAATGTCCAAAATACAATTAATTTAGTCGAAATTTAATAACTTGAGTCTGTATTTGAGAAATGCAGTTTTGCATTTCTCTATTGCTTGGTTTCAGTACAGAGTCTTTTGAAGTCATTAAAAGAAAAGTAGAGCTGAGTTGAGTATCATCTTGGAATTTCCTGTGAAAGCTTTTTTCATTGGTTTGTTGGAACTGAGAACCACTGTTGAGGCAAATGGAGCTTGATTAATTACTGAAATGCTACAATCATTATTTGTGACCTCTCTATTTCTTGAGTTTAATGGTCCTGTTTTTGGATGTACATTGGACAATCTTTGAGACATGTCTGCTTTTACAACGGCAGAGACATTTTGCTAAATATTAGTGGGGATATCTGCATATATTTGAGCTTGTGTGTGTGTGTATGTATGTGTGATGATGTTGTATTATATATATAAGTATATATATATATATATATATATATATATATATATATATATATAATATATATATATATATGTAATATAAATAATCCACCTATGTGGATTAGAGAAAATGAAGAAGAATAATGTCTTAAAGACATTTAAAATGTATAGTATACAAACATCATTAAATACCTCATATTCATGCCCATGATGACTTTATGTAAAGCTCTGAATACAACTTTATTCAAACTGGTGTCCTTGGGAATAATCATTCTAATTTGTCACACAGTGTTGTGTGTCTGACCTTGAATTCCCTCGAGGGGGAGAAATCAAAAACAAAAATCCTTGTGGAGGTCAAACAAATATCACACTCCCGAAGCAACAAAAACATCATACTGTTGTCCTCTGTAGTAAAAGGCAACTGTGTTTACGATTTAGCAACAATAACACATTTTCAAGAATAAAGTACTGAGAGCTTTTGGAATTGTAAGTAGGTCAAGTAGGTATATTTTCACAGACGGTCCCTCTTGTATTTGCATAATTCAACTGGAAACCGGATAAAGTGATAGATGGTAGAGGAATCATGACTGATGTGGGAAATGGTTTGTTGTGGAGGTGGGAAATGGGGTGAGGGTGGTGAAAGGATTTGCCCCGATCAATGTCCAGTTACTAGCCACATCAGAGGAGCTGGTGGGCAAGCAAACAGCAAGCACTGCTCCCCTCCCTCTAATCTGTGCCTCAGTAATCAGAAACACATGGCTCCCTATAATGACTCCACTGTTGTCCCATGAAGTAGAAGAAGGCTGTAAGGGTCACATATGTGTGTCACCTATGTGTATACACACAAGCACAGAGTCAGAATGATGGAAAATATACAGCTAACACTTCCTTTCACATGCCAGCTAACTGCAGCCACATAAAGTAAATAGATCCTGACATCCATTTAGGCGAAAATTTCTTTCTTTTTTTTAGGTTGTTGCTAAAGTGTGTTTATCCAACTGGATAAGAGTGGTGCCAGTATCAGTGACTTGGCCTCTGACTCACAAAAACAAAGATGTCATAAAACAAATCTGATGGGGGTTGTAAAATGGGAAAATGTTTCTGCAGGGTACAGGCCTGTTCCTGTGACTGCATT